ACACCACACACACACACCACACACACACACCACACACACACACCACACACACAACCACACACACACACACAACACACACACACCCCCACCCCCACACACCACACACCCACCACACACACACACACCACAAAACCCCAAAACACACCACACACACACAACACCCCCCAAACACCACACACACACCACACACACACACACCACACACACACACACCACACACCCACACACACCACACACCACACACACCACACACCACACAAAACACCACACACACACACCACACCCACCACCAAAACCACACACCAACACACCAAAACACACCACAACCCAAAACCACACACACACAACACACACACACACCACACACACCAAAACCCCACACACACCCCACACACACCCCACACACCACACACAAAACACACCACACACCCCCACCCCACACACACACACCCCACACCACACACCACACACACCACACACACACCCCACCACACACCACACCCCCACACACACACACCCCCCACCCCACAAAACCACACAACACACACACACACACACCCACACACACACCACACACACACCCCACACCACACACACACACCACACACACACACACACACACACACCACACACACACACCACACACAAACCACACCACCCACCACACACCCCACACACACACACCACACACACACACCCCACACACACACCACACACACACACACACACAACAAAACACCACACACACACAACACACAACAACAAAAAAACCACCCCAAAACCACACACACACACACACACAAAACACACACACCACACACAAAACACACCACACCCCACACACACCACACACACACACACCACACCACACACACCACACACACACACACCACACACACAACCACACACACACCCCCCACACACACACCCCCAACACCAACACACCACACACCCCACCCCCACACACACACACCACACCACACACACACCCCACACACACACACACACACACACCCCACACACACACCAACCCCCACACACCACCCCACACCAACACACACAAAACACCACACACACACCACACACCACACACACACCCCCACACACACCACACACACACACACACCAAACCCCACACCACACACCACACACACCCACAACCACACACCCCACCACACACCACACACACACCCACACCCCCACACACCACACCCACACACCCCCCCACACACACACCCCCCCCCACACACACACACAAAACACACACACACACCCCCCACACACACACACACCCCACACACACACACACACACACACACACACACACACACACACACACACACACACACACACACACAAGAAATCACATTTGCTGCACAGATCCACTCTCTTGTATCTAGCCCAAAATTTACTTTAAGGCAGGTAGTGAATTTTATTGAAAAATACTGTACTATATTAGGAAAGTTTTTAGTGAATAGCTACTGTCATTAGTATACATTGAATAATGTGAAAAATGTTTGTGCATGCTAGCAAGGAAAAAGATGTATCCCTCGTAACATCGCATGTATTGTTTATTCTGGATTTTTAAGAAACATGGCCTGTACACAGTTTTGGTACAGCAAAAAATATTACTAGCCTGTAGTTCCATTATTTAGTACAGCCCTCTATTAACCCTTTGACTGTCGCGGCCGTATATATACGTCTTACGAGGTACCGTGTTTGACGTATATATACTCATAAATTCTAGCGGCTTCAAATCAAGCAGGAGAAAGCTGGTAGGCCCACATGTGAGAGAATGGGTCTGTGTGGTCAGTGTGCACCATATAAAAAAAATCCTGGAGCACGTAGTGCATAATGAGAAAAAAAAACTCCGACCGGTTTTTTTTTTTTTTTTTTTTTTTTTTTTTTTTTTTTTTTTTTTTTTTTTTTTTTAATTAAAATGCCGACTTTGTGGTCTATTTTCGTATAGTATTTATGGTTGTATTCTCGTTTTCTTGGTCTCATTTGATAGAATGGAAAACATATTATAGAAATAGAGGTGATTTTGATTGATTTTACTATAAAAAGAACCTAGAAATGGAGCTCAAAGTAGGGGAAATGTTTGATTTTTGCCAGTGTTCAAAAGTAAACAAATGATGCCATTGTCCAATAAATGTCCAACTAGCCATTCTAATATGCAGTCATGAATGGGTTGATGTTATTTATACAATTATTACAGTATTGCAGTAGTCTGCATAATAGTAAGTCTTCTATTTTTTGTTTGAATAAAAATTCAAAATAGAAAGCAAGAGTAATATCAGAGGGGCCTGGAGACATGACTGATGAACAAAGAAAATGTTATTTTAGAGCCAGGAATGTCTGCATTGTTCATTCTGGACCTTATTTTGAAATTGTCATATTTTTTAATTTTCGTGAAATTGGCCAAATTGCAAATTTCTGACCACATTATTAGGTAGTTGAAATCGGTAAATGGGCGGTTTCTTGTACTCAATCGATAGAAAAAAATGGAGTTCTAAAGAAATAGCTATGAGTTTAGGCGACTGGAACAATGGAATTAGCCGAAAATAGGGCTCAAAGTGGGCGAAAACGCCGATTTGTAAACAGCCCTGGGGTCGCTAACTTCACGAGAGCATAATTCCGTCAGTTTTCCATCAAATTTCGTTTTTTTGGTGTCATTACAATCGGGAAAAGATTCTCTGTCATTTCCACGAATTTTTTTTTTTTTTTTTTTTTTTTTTTTTTTTAAATTTTGCGACACCAGGAGACACCTCAGGATTAGGGATTGCGACAGTCAAAGGGTTAAGTGAAATTAGAATTTTGTAGTCATTTTACTTGTATATACTGCATACAATATCATGCATCTCTGCTGGGTGTTATTACCTATAGTTTGTGCAGCCTTACCAATAGCCTTGTTAAATTTCAGCATGTCTGTGCATGTCTGTGTGCATACTTGTATTGTCAGTAACAACTGTTTGATTTTATTTCTATGTAGTGTACACCCTTTGCTGCGTACACTTTGTTCCTGGGGCCGCCTTTTGAAACAATTATGTAGTGCCGTCCCTGAACAAAATAAGGTATTTTAGTACAGAACAATCATTTGCTACTCTTTCCAGAGACCCACCTATATGATATTTGTATAAAATATCATAAGAGGATATTAAAGAACAGATTAAGATTTTTTGGCACCTTTGTCAGCAAGAGGCCACAGTAAACAGAAAAAGCAGTGCTAAAATTATACAGCTCTGGGAAGTGTTTTTGTTAAAAATAAGACTTGAGTTCCAAGGAGTGGCAACCACTGGATATTAAAAAAAAAAAAAAAAAAAAGTGTGAACACCAGACATCATGAGCTTAGCTGTGCTTCTGTAACCACAAATTAGTTAATGCATATAAAAAATGTTGTACAATTTTGTGGATTGTCTAGTGCCAAGGATGGTCCAGCACATAACTTTCCATCATAAAAAAAAAGTAGTGTCTACAAAAATAAGGGTATAGAAATTCACTGTATAGAATTAGAACCTGAGCACAGACATATTCTTGTAGAAGGCATGGGAATGTGTAATTATAGTGAAGTGTATGGTTGATATTAATGTTTATTATACTGGGAATGTATGCACTTTTTTTTTTTTAAAGTTTTATGTAATTTAATCAGCCCATAGGATAAAACCTTTAGTATTTACTTATTCAAGTGATAACTTTGAGGCAAGTGATAACTTTATCTGCATTGATGTATTCAGAGGTGTCTGTAGACTTTGTCTTGAGACAGGTACTCTTGCTGCCACTGTTTTCTGGCTACTTCATACATCACTTTGTGTATATCAATCAGGAGCATGCACAAAATTTGTAGTTACATCCCAAGTAGACATTCCAGATGATGTGGCCAATAGTCTTCATTGAAAGTCTTGCTTGGAAAGAGGTGCATGGTTTTTCTCTGCCAGTGAAAAAAATGTATGATATTCACTCCAAATTATTTTTGAAACTGCTAAAAAGTGGTAAATAATAATTTAAAAATGCAAATATTGTGCTTATAATTAAAACAGGTGATGTGGAAAGCCCACTTATCTATATTGCAGCATATGCTCGTCTCACTCAAGAGTATAGCTAAAAGAAAAAAAAAATTGTGGATAAAATCTTTAGGGAATGGAAATTTCATAACTAAGGTTTCGTGTCAGAATCTTTTATTATTGTACTATACATATTGTGTATCTAATATTTTGAGCTACTTCTGTTCAGTACTTAAAGAAATTATTAGGTGAATAAAATGGTGGGCAGATTGCACCATTAAAAGAAATTAAGATAAGTTTTTCTCATAAAAGATTAATTTATAAACTACAACATGTTTGAGTAGAAGGCAAATTATTACAGTAGATGAGAAATTTTTGCTTTATAAAATGCAACAAGTAATAAGAAGTCTGTTTTCCTGTGCACTCCTGGCAAAACAACTACGGAATACACGGTCAGTGTGTTTATTCTTTTAGGAGTAAGGGGGGTTACTGTACCCAGGATGGCCACAGCGTTAAAAAAAAAAAAAAAACGACTTGGAGCAGTCCAACAGATCTGGGCTAGCTAAAATGCAAAACTGGTGGGAAAAGCAGCTGTCTAAAATAAGGGTACTGAACAAAGGTGTTCAGCAGAAGTGTTGCCTTTTATATATAGGATGTTTTACTACCTTGGATGCCTTCTACCCTATGAGAACTTGCCTAACCTAAGGAACTGATTATGTGGAGTATCCACTTGGAGACATTTCAAGGACCTCTCGTGCATTGAAGCCTCTAGAAGGAGCACCTTAAACAGTTATCAAATAATTTTATTTGTTGATTTGGCTGTTAGAAAAACAAGGAATCAGCCATTACTTATTGAGAAATTAACTTGTAAAAATAATGTTGATTGCCCTCAGCACTACTTGAGGAAATAAAATAGGTGCAAAAGAAGGAGAGAGAGAAATGGAAAAATAAGTGTGGGGGTGGGGGTGGGGGTAGATGGGTAGGATGCAAACTAAACCACCATCCAGAGATGAACTGGATTGCCCCTTTTTCCTTCCACCTGATAATGCTTCATGCAGCAATTTGTCTATCATCATTGTTAATAGACAATATTTGCTAATTAAAGCTCCTTTACCTTTTTTGTACCCTGCAGTGAAGGAGGTTTTTTTAAGGCACATCTAATATTCCCTCGAGAATATCCTCTTCGGCCACCTAAAATGAAGTTCATCACAGATATTTGGCATCCAAACAGTAAGTTAACATTAATTTCCTCTGGCTTATAACAGTGTACAGTACTTATTCCTTTTCTTCTTCAGTTATGTCTCATGTCAGAATATTGTTCTTTTTACCATCTTGATGCTTGCCTTCAAATGTCTTCCATCTTATTTTCTTGCATATGTAGTATCCTAACAAATGCATTAAAATGAAGACTATTGTACTTGAGACTGTTTCTGGTTTAGCACTTACGTTGATTATATTAATACCTTCACACATTTCTCTTTTTGCATATCCTTTCCTGCAGTGTTGTATGACCCTTTTGGGTTTAGTGCTTAGCTTGATTATACAGTGGAACCTCGGTTGTCGAATTTAATTCATTCCAAATGTCAATTCGACATCCAAAATGGACAACAACCAAAGCAATTTTTCCCATAAAGAATAAAGTAAATAGAATTAATCCATTCTAGACCCCGAATGACAATATAATAATATATTAAAAACATACTAGCTACTACATAAAACTAACAATGAGTACTAAAAGAAACTAACTGAAATACTGTACAGTAAATGAAAATTTCACTGCTGCTTACCTGTCAGAGGAGAGGTAATGGCATACTGGGAGGAGGAGGTGGAGGAGAGGAGGGGGGTATGTTACTGCTTGGAAGGAGAGTCATCTTCTAATAATGTCAGACAACTCTCCTCCTGGTGGTTTTTCTCTGTCTCTTTTCACCACTAACACCTTGTTCTGGCTTAATGAATCTTCTCTCTAAAAACCTGTCCAGTAAGGTTTGTTTCAGGTTCTGTTTTAACATTTGTCTAAATTAAGACATTACACTGTCATTGTACATGTTCAGTTATGTAGGTCTTCTGGGCATTTTCTTCAAGATAAAATTTCATTCAGAATTTTAACCCTGTCTTATTGCCATTGGGGTCCTCAATCTTGTCCACCAGGATGCGACCCACACCAGTTGACTAACACCCAAGTACCTGTTTGCTGCTAGGTGAACAGGACAACAGGTGTAAGGAAACGCGTTGAAATCCTTCCACCACACCGGGAATTGATCCCAGGCCGCCCTCATGTGAAGCAAGAGCTTTGCAAGCCTCTCTCATCACAAATAAACACTTGTTGGGGGAGAAATCCCTCAGCCTCTACATATGCTTGGAATTCAATAACATACTTTTCAACAGCCACTTTTTCAGCGCTGGCAACCTCCACATGCCTATCCACACTATGAATGCCACTTCTTAACCCCAACTAGCCTTGAAGGACTGCATTTCAGCAGAGATGTTTACAGCACGCGAGTAGTGGCTATACTGACTGAGACCCACGCTCTTGACTCGTCTGCCGAGCTGCTTTGTCCTGTTCGTGTTGTCCGCCAACAACCAAGAGCACGCAAGAAAACCGGACATTTTTTCTCAAATTCCTCATTCAAAAACCAATTTGTTTGACAAGTGAGGTACTCTACAACCAAGGTTCCACTGTATTATTATTTATAGTACTTGAGTTAAAAGTACATGTAAAGCTAAGTTGGGTGGAAGCAAAGAAAGTGAATACATTTGTAAATACACCACTGTCCAGGGGAGAGAATTAAATTTAACGACTCCTTATAAGCCTTCACAAATCTACATGAGAGGACTAAATCATCTGTACCTCCAGCAGAGTAATGGATGGCGAGATTCATTCTGTTGGTTTGTGCACGTTTCTAATTTTTTACTGCACAAATGAAGTCAGAGGTGATGCGCTTTAGAAAGATTTTCAGAGAGCAAAATAAAGAATTCTTCAGACTTGCACATTCTTGTTTACCAGTATTAAATTGCCATTCATAATATGGCGAGATGCATCATTACATTAGTGATGTACACTTTTGATAAATTGATGAATAAGACACAAGCAACACCCGAGTTTCTTTATGAAGCTGTTTTGTCAAGCCTCTGGGTGACAAAACTTCTTCAGAAATATACATAGGTGTTGCACACTACTAATTTATGCACTTGTAAGGTTTTTTATACCATTAATGCAGTGATAATTGTCTGACACAGCAACACCATGGAATCTTGGCACAGCAGAAGCAGGTCTGACCAACTCTTGGGCATGACCTATTTTCAATAATGAGTCCTGTCCCCCTGTGATGCTTTTAATTTCTGCACTTCTTTTCTGGCTCCACTGTCTGTCCTTGGGCATCTGTTTGTTTTATCAGGGCTAATGTACCAAACATCTTTTCTTATGACTGAGGGCCTGATAACCTCACCTTCCATTGTATCTAGTGTATAATCCCTGTATTGACTTAAAAACAAATTCACTGGTTGGCAGTGTCTTCATAAAGATACACCAGAAGAAAAAATGAATGCATAGTCTGATGTTAACACTGTTGATGGCATCAACCATTTGATAGTTATTTATTCATTGGCATTTAACTTGGAAAACTGCTTCCTGCTGCAGTTAGCATGCAAAAAACTCTTACCTATCATATTAATTAATTCTCCTGAACATGCCATTGTACAAATTTTATGTTGCCATGGTAGTCAGTTGGATACTATTAATGTCATTTACCCCTGGAACTCAAAGCTTTCGTACTGGGGTCCTGTACAACATTCATCTGCTTAAGCATTGTCTCGCTTGGTTCTAGGCTCCCTAAACATTTGCTTAGCACCTCGCCTTCAGAAGCATAAACACTTATCATAATTTTTTGTATTATTGTTATATAATCTCAGATTTACACAACCCATGGAATGAATGTGTCTCTAGTTATTTGCCAATCATTCATGACTTTTTTTTTTTTTTTTTTTTTTTTTTTTTTTTTTAAGCAGTTATCTCCCACCTGGGTAGGGTGATTCAGAAAAAAAAGAAACACTTGGTCACTTTTTCAGTCATAGTCTTGCCAGAAACGTGCTGATATCACAATTCAGAGGGTCCTCATAGCTGCAATAGCCCCACCCCTCCTCCTGAATGCAGGCACTGTATTTTTCATCTCCAGGACCCAAGTGCCACTAACAGATTTCCCTGAATCCCTTCACAAATGTTTCCCTGCTTGCACTCCAGCATCATATCATAAAAACCACTTGCCTCCACTGACTCCTAATGTGCTCTCACACTTGTTAGATGTCCAAGCCCCTAAACACACTCCCTCGAATCTTTCCTACTTCAACTCCAACCCCTCCTTCCCTCCACCCTCAGATTTATATTCTCTTGTTCGTAGTCTCTTGTGTACCTATTATAAACTATCTCCACCTTATGTTGTCTGCTTTTGCACAGTCACATGTATACCAATCAGATATCATCACCTTATAATTTATTTCCAAATTGCAGTTGAGAAGAATGGAGATGTGTGTATCTCAATTCTTCATGAACCAGGGGATGACAAGTGGGGTTATGAAAAAGCCTCGGAACGCTGGCTTCCTGTGCATACAGTAGAGACGATCCTTATCTCGGTCATCAGTATGCTTGCAGATCCTAATGATGAAAGTCCAGCAAATGTCGATGCAGCGGTAGGAAATATTCTATTTTCAGTAGATTATTGCATTAGTTTCTACCTGGTTATTTAACCCTTAAACTGTCCAAACGTAGATCTACGTTCACATGCGTAGCGCTCCAATCTTGATTTCCCCATTTGAAAACATGTAAAAAAAAACGTAGATCTACGTTCGGAGCTTCTGCTCGTCAACGTATATCTACGTTTGGACAGTAAGGGTTAACACCCTTTATTTCTATATTGTACTTTTGTCCATTTGTTACCTTGTGTTTTCTGTGTCTTTTTGATAACCATTTTCCAGTGATTTTTTAATTATTCCCATACTATTCATCTGGTATTACCAGATACATAAAGATACTTTGTCAGTTTTGCTCTGTTAATATCTAGTTCAAATTCCACTCATATGAAGACTCCTCTGTATTTCTTACACTACTTGGTTCTTAATTATGATTATGTAATGCAACATATTAGGTCTCTACCTTTTACAGTACTGTGATACCTCGGTGTAATGGGGGGATATCCACTTAACCCTTTCGCTGACTGTGCCATAGTACTTTGCCTTTGAGTTCACTGGCAGTGCCATAGTACTATGTGATGAGCTCAGCTCACTCAGCTAGCTGTGAGTGGTAAATTTGGGCCTAGATGAAGAGAATGGGTTGATGCAGTATGTGTGCACCATGTGAAAAAAATTCTGCAGTACGCATTGCATAATGAGAAAAAATGTGACTGTTTTTGGTTTAAAACAGCAACTTTGCGGTGTATTTTTTATGTCTTTATGGTTGTAGTCTCAGTTGCTGGGTGTCATTTGATAGAATGAAAGACATATTACTGAAACATAGATCATTTTAATTGGTTTTACGGCTGTAAATAGCTTGAAATTGAACTCAAAATAGCTGAAATGTTCGGTTTTTGCCGATGTTCAAGAGTAAACAAATCCCGGCATGTGTCCAATACACTCCAACTGGTGGGACTAATATGCGTTCACGAATGCGCTGATATTATTTATACAATTATTACAATATTGCATAAAAGTAAATCCATTTTTTTGTGTGAATGAAAATTCTTTTGTGTGAATAAAATATCAAAATGGAATTCATGTGTGAAGCCTGCAGACACAATTAATGAACAAAGGAAATGTTATTTTAGTGCCAGGAATGCCTGCATTGTTTATTCTGAACCCTATTTTGAAATTTGTGTGAAATTGGCCAATATTCACGAAAGTGTAATTTCGTCAGTTTTCAATCCAATTTCACACTTTGTTTTATTACCTTCAGAAAAAGATTTCCATCATTTCTTAAGAAAAAAATAACAGATTTTTTTTGTTTTAAATTCTTGGACACCGGACGAGTTTCTGATTGGGGTCCTGTACTCTGAAAGGGTTAATCAAAAACCCATTGCATTGAGGTAGCTAATGGAGAGAACTAGGTCACTGCATTGATAACATTACCTGATACAAATGGATGCCTCAGTTACCAGACTGTGTGCCACATCAATAACATACCAGACATATAGGTAGTAGGTTGGTAGACAGCAACCGCCCAGGGAGGTACTACCATTCTGCCAAGTGAGTGTAAAACAAAAGCCTGTAATTGTTTTACATGATGGTAGGATTGCGGGTGTCCTTTTTTCTGTCTCGTAAACATGCAAGATTTCAGATACATCTTGCTGCTTCTACTTACACTTAGGTCACACTACACATACATGTACAAGCATATACAGTGGTCCCTCATTTTTCGTAATTAATCCATTCCTGGAGGAGCTATTATAAACGAAATTTACGATTTGCGAATCAATTTTCCCCATAAGAAATAATGTAAATACAATTAATCCGTTTCTGGCACTCAGAAGTATTAAAACAAAAAATTTTTACATGAAATATACATGTAGTACATAAACAATACAATGGGAAATGATGAATGAAACATTAACAGCATAACACTTACCTTTATTGGAGATTCTTCTTAGTGTATGGGAGACTGGAGGAGGAGAGAGATTGGATTGTTTACAGTTTGGAAAGGGAATCCCCTTCCAGCAACACCTCAGGTACCAATTGCTTCTCTGGGGTTGCTTCTCTTCTCTGTTTCTTAATGCCACTAGGACCACCTTGAGAGTCACTCTAGTCCTGTCTCGCAAAGTAACTGTGGAGAGAGCTCTGTTTCTGGCGTCTCTTTAACACTTCCCTAAAATGGTACAAGACTTTGCCACTGTACATATTTCTCACTAGGAGCTTTCTTTGGAGCCATGGTAGCTTATTTAGTACTTTGCAAGCACTAAAATGAGTAGAATATTATGAAATATTTCGTAGGAGCACTTGAGGGGACCTTCACTGTCCAGAATATCTTGCTGTCAATTTTGTCAAGGTTGGGAACCAAAGCAATCATAGTACTAGGGGGAGAGAGCACAACTTTGTAGTACCCACAGTCAGTGGCCAGGCTTCAAACACCTTTTATTGTACAGCAATAAAGGAATGGAACAGACTGCCCGCACATGTCAAAGCCAGTCATAGCATGAACCAGTTCAAGAAGAGTGCCAAAAGGTGTCTGATGAATGTAGCTACAGAAAGGGAGGGGAATGATTTTCTATTTTTTAGCTAACATACGTGTAAATTTTACCTTATTCCTAGTAATGACCCTCGTATTGTAGATAGTCTTAATGCCTCGTATTGTAGATAGTCTTAATGACCTTGGTGTAGTAGATAGTCTTTTTAGTATGATAATAAGATGTTATCTTCATTGTAGAATAATAAGAAAATATTATAACCTTTATATTATAATAATAAGGTAAAAGGACCCCAATGGAAATAAGTCACTCTGACTTTTTTGGGTTATCCTAGGTTCTCTACACATATGCTGCTATGTATGATAATTCTATGTAACTGTATTTGTGTATACCTGAATAAACTTACTTACTTACTTACTTATTCACTCACTGGTAAATAATGCCAGACTGGCTGGGTAGGGAGGCCTCCCCTGCTCACACCGTGCATAAGCCTCCTGGACGAACTACTATTCGCGAGTCAACCTATGAAAAGCGAGTCCATGTTTATACGAAAATACCCCTATGATTGGCGAAATTTACGATTGCCGAGAACTACGAAAAGCGAGGGACCACTGTATATACACACACACCCCTCTGGGTTTTCTGCTATTTTCTTTCTAGTTCTTGTTCTTGTTTATTTCCTCTTATCTCCATGGGGAAGTGGAACAGAATTCTTCCTCTGTAAGCCATACATGTTGTAAGAGGCGACTAAAATGCCGGGAGCAAGAGGCTAGTAACCCCTTCTCCAGTATAAATTACTAAATTTAAAAAGAGAAACTTTTGTTTTTCTTTTTGGACCACCCTGCCTCGGTGAGATACGGGCGGTTTGTTGAAAGAAAAACAATATATAGTAAATTGCCTCAAGGTGAAAGCTAAAGCTACGGTATAGTAATTTTTCTTACCTTTTCTTGTGGATAGATGAACTGAATCTATAATCCTATATTGTTTAGCAGGCAGTGATTCAAAGTAAATTAATGGCTAAGAAACTTTCAAGTCCAGGGAAACTTAGACACCGACTGTCGATAGTACGTGTGAGCACATTTAGACAATAATAAACTAAGGCAAGCAGGGTCAGCGTGCCTGGGAACAATAAAAATGGACAGGTCTTAGACAGAGCTACTCTAACCTGTACCAGACAACCATTCAATGCAGGACTTAGTCCCCTGCATTAGTGACACGTGCTACGTGGGCAAATGCATTAACGATACTATTGGATATCTCATTATAAGATACTTGCCAAGCCTTTGTCAAAGTTTTTGGCCATTTTAACCAAATTCCATTGCATATGAGTTTGTTATACTGAGGTTTTGCTGTATATACTTGTACTATGGCAATTTTGTGCCAATATTCCTCGCCTATTAATGTGTGACATTTAATTGCAGTATCATTGTTTTTTCCAAATTACAGAAAGACTGGCGTGAAGATTACAATATCTTTAAGAAGAAAGTTGCACGTTGTGTTCGGAGAAGTCAAGAGGAATAGGAACTCTAGACTATTAGCATATCCCTGGTATGTATTGCTGGCATCTGATGGTATTCTTTATGCTGATTTTAACTTTTAATTTTTCTTCTTTTCAATTTGGTAATTTACTGCTTTCTTGGACAGGTTTTAAGAAGGAAATAGTGGTGTGGTGGTGATTCCCAAGACACCATGAATGGTCTCGAGTGTGAACAGCAACAACTGCCAACCTGTGTCCCACCTGTAAGAGACTGATATCTAAATATCTTACAACTGTTGGCAAACCAGTGGCAGCGGTCTCGAAGGTGACTTTAGCACTAATGAAAGTGAAAATTGGTTTTAAAATGTGGATATATTAATCAAAAAGTGTCGTATATATGCATACATAAATATATATATATATATATACGTATATATATACACATCGTATATACAAACTAAAAAAAGAAATTATGACTTGGAAAGATGTGTGCAGAAAGTGCTTTGGTGGTGTGATAAACTAGGACCAGATGCTGAGTTGAATGTTTAGCATCATTGTGGCATTATGTCTGATTAGGGTCACATTGTGAATAATCAGTGATCATTTTTAAGGTGAAACCTCTTCAACTTACCCCAGGGAAAGAATTACAGTGAAAAGCTCATCGGCATATCTTAGACATTGACTTCACCAGTGTATGTCAAAGCAAGGTTTCAAACACTTTATCCTCCTTACAATCTATATCTTATAAAATGGTTAAGTGTAATTTTTCTCTCATTGTTAACAGGTATTTTGTACCATTTGAAGAGATTAAGCAAGGAGATAGTTTGTTACCTTGCTCAGGGTGAACTTCGGTGAATTATTGTCTAGAATACGACAGTTTGTGGAGGTTAAGACAGGAAGGAGAGATTGCCTTTCCTTACTCGAATCCACAGTGCTCTTATAGATATTAAACTACTCGGTCAAACCCTACTTTTAGAAAGTTTGAATTTTTTATGCACCCTAAATTTAGCTTCAATTGAAGCTTTCTTGCTGCCTGACTA